GGAGCAGGGGCAGGAAGAGGAGCAGGAGCAGGAGCAGGCACAGGCGTAGCAGGAGAAGCTGCATCCACAGCAGGAGTGGGCGCCAGTTCAGGAGGAGGAGCAGGAGTGGGCGCAGGAGCTGGAACAATAAAAAGGGACAGATCCAGAGGGGGCTCAGGGAGAGGATCCGGGAAAGCCGGGGGAGCAGGGGGAGAAGCGGGAGCCAGAGGAAGCGCTGGAGGCGGGGCGGGTGTGGGAAAGGAGCAGGGGAGCTGACATGAGCAGGCTGCCTGCCCCTCGGGCAGCACCCCTGCAGCCAGCCGGAGCCTCGCTCTCCCGAGCTGGCTGGCGGGAGGACAGGCCCGGCCAGCCCCACGTTTCTCTCCCTGTCCCCGCGTGGGGCCCCGCCCCGCACAGCCAGCCACGCCCTCTTCTAGTGGCTTCCCAGAACAGGCTGAGGAGACAGCCGCCGAGCCACTGGGGCAACGGGCCGCCGGCCTGCACAGGAGGCTCTCCTGCGGCCCGGGGCCCGCTGCTGACCGACCGCCCCCGGGCATCCACCTTACACCCATGCCGGACACCCTGGGCACGCGGCTCTCCGCGGAGGAGGGGAGGACGCAACCCGTCTCCACGCGGGGCTCCTTACACTGTGGGGCTGTGTCGCAGAACACGGGATCCTTAAGCGACTGCATGCCGCTCAGCTTCGTGTCCCAGGACCCGTGGCCGGCTTCCCCTGCGAGCCCCCAGTCATCTTCCTCCGGAGCTGGCCAGATGGTGCGTGGGGAGGCCGCGGTGCTGGAGGACCCTTCCCCCCTAGCGCATTTCTGCACGTCCACGTCCGAAGGCACAGCCAAGTCGCCGGGTGCCTGTTTCCACGCGTCCAGCTCACCTTCTGCTTGCGGAGGAAGCAGGTCGGGGGAATGGGCAGCTGCTGCCCCGGCCTTCCGGGCTCCGGACCCAGGCGAGGTGCTGGGCTCAGGGGCGCGAGGACGGGGGGCCAGCTGCTGCTGCTGAGCCAGCGAGGACACAGAATACCTCCGGAAGTACCGCCTCATGGGGTTGGTGTTCATCTTCTGCCTGTTGTACAGCAGGCGGTTGGCAGCGCAGGCCACCGCCACGGAGGGGTCCAGACACAGGGGTTCTGCGGTCGCTAGGATCAGCTGGCTCTCCAGGGCGAGCTTGTCTTCCTGGGTCCACTCCTCGCGGCCGCTGGTCATGGACTGCACGTCACAGAGTAAAGTCTGCATGGTGGGGCGGAGCAGAATGTGCTTACTGCGGAAACCGGGAGGCCCCGGCTCGCCGCACTGCCTGTAGTCGCGGATCTCCGCCACGACGCAGCCACGGTGAAAGACGTCAGCCCGCGCTCTCTCCAGGCTGTCGACCAGAACGGGAGGCAGCTCTTCGGCATCCAGGTACTCCAGGAACTCCCGCTGGTCGTAAGGCAGCCGGATGCTTTCTGGGGAGCATGTCTCGGCGTCCTTGAGCATCAGAGAGTAGCCCTCACTTCCGGGGTACAGGCTGACCACTAAGCGTGACAAGGACTCCTTCTGGACGAGCTTGTCTAGCAGGTGGACACTGCTTCTCAGCTCCGCGAACTCGGGCTCTCGCTCGCACTCCTTCACGTAAAGGTCATAAAGCTTTTGATGCAGACATCTGTCCCCGCTGGCTGACCTTCTCCTCTTGGGCGGTCTCCGCTGGGCTCTCTGGATGACCGCCTCGGCGGAATCTAAGGCGTGCTCTAGGGCGTGCTGCATGGTGCTAAGAGACGAAGGCCCTGAAGGGAGAGAAAAGGCACGTGGCGCTGGAGAGGCGGGCGCAAGGTCGTGTGCGTGCGTGTGTGTGTGTGCGTATGTGTGTCGTCCTGTGAGGTCTCCCCTCAGGAGGCGACGCGGCACGGGCCGACGGCCTCCATTCGGAATGGGCGCCGAGACCCCACCCCCGAGGAGCACCGCCCGACAACCTCGGGCCTCTCTGAAGCCTGTACCTGTGGCGGCCGCCGTCTGGGCTCACGTGGACGCCCGCGGGTGGGAGCCCTCGGCGCTGCCAAGCCCGTTTGTGCGCACGCGCACGTGGCTCCTGGGCGTTGGCCGCCCGCCGTCGTGGCCTTGGTGGCCCGGGCTCGCCAGCTGAACTTCCGCTCGGGCACGCACACTTCCGCTAGGGCGCGGCCGTGGCTGGCGGGTGGGCTGCAGCAGCTTCCCCGGCTCTTCTGGGTCTGACTGGCACCGCTCACCGACGAGACTGTGGGTCGGGGCGCGGTCTGCTGTGTGCCCGGTTTGTGAGAGCACGCTGCCGAGGACGTGTGGGACGCTTCCCTCTCTCTCGCTGGGACTTTGTGCAGAGCCGTTCTGTCTGGGGACGCCCTTGTCGTCGGGGCGGGCTGCCCCGGCATCCGGCGGCAGCTCAGCGCCCCTGAATCGGCACGGCCCAAGCACTGCCATGCTTCTCCGAGTCCCGCCGCCCTGCCTCCCGCCGGAGGTGCCCGGAGAGCTGGACGCCTCGCGGGGCGTCTCCCGCATAGCCCCTCGCCTCGACTGCCCCGTGCCCTTCATAGATTTTCAAACCTCGAGTGGTGCGTCGTAGTCTGTCGCCGGGTTGCAGCTCGGGATAGGAGAGACGTGACGCTCTTCTGCAAGCGCGATTTGCCTCTGACGGGGGTCAGCACGCGCGTCCCGGCTGGTGGCAGTAAGTGTGCACGGGCTCCCCGGAGGTGGAGCTACCGTGCTGCTGGTGGGTGGGGAACCACCGGGCGCTTGACTCTCAGATCGTGGACGGGATGGCCTTCCCCGGTGACTGCGGCCCCGAAGTACGCCAGTCTTTTTGGACACGTGCTTAAAAACATCTCCTCGGGTTCAGGCATGGTGATGAGACCACATTTATAGCCAAGAGTCAGTAATGGGAGGAATCCAGGACAAGTGTTACAATTTCTGCCTTACGGACGACTATTAAAGTAATCTGTAGCGGGGCCGGCGCTGTGGCGTAGCAGGTAAAGCCGCTGCTGGCAGCAGAGGCATCCCACGTTGATGCCGGGTCCGGTGGCTCCTGGTCCTCTTCCGAACCAGCTCGCTGCTATGGCCTGGGATGCACTGGGGGAGCGCCCACGTGCTCGGGCCCCTGCACCCGCCTTGGAGACCTGGAAGGAGCTCCAGGTTCCTGGCTTCAGTCTGGCCCAGCCCTGTCCGTTGTGGCTATTCGGGTGGTGAAAGAACCAGCGGACTGAGTCTCTCTCTTCCTCCCTGTGTAATTCTGACTTACAAATGTATACATCTTTTTTTTTTTTTTAAAGAAAAGTTAAAACAATTAAAAATCCATATTTTAGAGTTGTTTTTTTAAAGATTTATTTATTTATTTGAAACAGCTACACAGAGAGATGGAGTGGCGGAGTGTTGCTCCCCCGCTCGCGGAGGTACGACTCCGGACCCTGCAAAGCTCTCTTTGCCCGGCCCTTCCTGGGTTTGCTACCAGCCGGACCCTGCACTGTTCTCTTTCGCCGGCCCTTCCAGTGTTTGCTGCCGCACCCCCCCCCCTCCGCCTCCGCCTCCGCCTCCGCGGAGGGGCGGCACCCCCACCGCTTTCCCCTCTTCCGCGGAGGGGCGGCACACCGCCGGCAGGCTCTCTCACGGCTCTCTCAGGGGTTGCTCAGATGTTCCTGGTGCATGTTGTCTGGCTCCTCCTTTATAGTCCTCTTCCACCAATCCGTGCTCTGCTGCCCACACACCGAGCACGATGCTCTCCTCCAATCAGGAGCAGGATCAGCTCCTGCAGCTTGTTAGTTGAATTGGTGAGGCAGCTGTGTGGAACTTGTTTATTCCTTCTCAGCGCCATATGGTGGGAGATCAGATGCATAGAGTTAGTCCTAGCAGTTCCAGTAATTTAGTCTCGGTTGCTCCCCACAGCAGAGAGAGTGAGAGAGAGAGAGCGAGAGAGAGAGAGCGAGAGAGAGGTCTTGCATCCGCTGGTTCACTCCCCAACCAGCCACAATGGCTGGAACAGCCGATTTGAAGCCAGGAGCCAGGAGCCCCTTCTAGGTCTCCCTCGTGGGTACAGGGGCCCAAGGAGTTGGGCCATCTTCTAGTGCTTTCCCAGGCCATAGCAGAGAGCTGGATCGGAAGTGGAGCAGCCGAGTCTCGAACCAACACCCATATGGGATGCCAGCGGTTCAGGCCAGGGCTTTAACCTGTTGTGCCACGGTGCAGGGCCCAGAGTTTCCTTTTTTTTAATTAGTGGATTTATTTTTAGGATTTTTGTTTTATTTAGGCAGGCCAAATAAGGCAGGAGCCTGGAACACAATCCAGGTCTCCCATGGGTGGCAAGGACCCATCTATTGGAGCCATAGCCTGCTGTTCCCACAGCATACATTAACAGGTATCCTGAATTCCAGACAGTATTGGAACTTGAACCCTGGTCCTTCAATATGGGATGCAGGCAATCCCAGTGGCTTCTTAACTGCTAGTCCAAATTCCTGCCTGATTTCTTAACTATACATCTTTCCTTGTCCCTCTCTTGTTTTACTCCAAACATTCCAGTTTAGGCTAATTATAAGGGCTATCCAAGAACTGAAATGTCCAACTGATTAAAACCAAGGTCATGATATGTGACCATGAGTTAGTTTTCTCCTGTGTTCTTAGTACCACCTCATTCTTCCAACTTGAACGGATGAGCTTATGTTCCTGCCATACTCTTAAAGACTTCTCACCAACCACCTTGACTTTCTGTCTTCGGAAAGTTGTGGCTAGATCTCGAATGTCTCAGTTGCACAGCAGCATTCCCTTTAGGTAAGGAACTAATTTGAATGGGAAAGCCGAGTTTTCTTGCTGCTCTGAACTAGAGGTTTTGTTGGATGAGAAGCAGCACAACGGAGCTTGTTTGAGTCAGGTTGTCCTCCTAAACAGTAAGTTCCAAGACTTTGCTGTCTCCTCTTGGCCTGCACACTGGACTTCCTCGTTGCTTAGTGTGGTCGGTGAACATGGCCATGACTAGGGTGATGCAAGACAGGGGCCTAGGACACCAAGTGGCAGGTACATTCGCTGTCAGCGAGGTGAAAGTCCTGTTAGGGTCAGTGCCCTGGGCACCTCAGCGCCCTTCCCCTTCTACCTGGCCCTGCACCACCTGGCACCTGCCTTGCTTCCATCCTCATCTCTCGCTCGCTCTCCTCTTTTACCTGTTTGTGGTGCTCTGAGCCATTAGGCACAACCACCCTTTCGAAGCTCTCTGCTTTGCCCAAGAGACCCCTCCTTGCTTAGGTACCTGCTGACTTCTACTGATCATCTCAGCTGTCCTTCCTGACCTCCAAGAAGCGTACCTCTTCATGTGCTTCTGCACATGCCTTAGTAGAGCCAGGCATCGCATCAGATAGGAATGCAGTGTGTGCTGTTTCTCTGCACTCAGCCTTGCGGTTCTCTGAGGACGGGAATGGTGCCTTTCCTATTTTGTTTGGGCACAGACTCGGTCAGTGCTTGGCGCTTAGTAGAGTATGAAGGAATTAGCCGTTCGCATCTCCAGTTACCTCAACTCAAGGCTCATGAGAGTGTGTGAAGGAAATGTTTCACCCTCTTTTTAGAGATGATAAAGGTACCCAGGATCACGTTTTCTGGCTTCAGGGCTCTATGGTGGTGGGGTTTCTCCACCTTGGCACTGTTGGCTTTTGTTGTGGGAGATGCTCTGTACACTGTAGGAGGGTTAACAGCATCTATGGCCTTGCCCACTAGATGCCAATTGCACTCCTCTCCTGTCTATCAAAAATGTCTCCAGATATTGCCAAGTATTTCCTGGAGGGGAATCACCTCTCTGGTCAAGGACCACGCTATACCCTGCTGTGCAATTCATGTGTGCAATCCAAATGCTGCCCCTTATCTCCCTTCCTGGGTGCACCTCACTTTGTAGAGGGGTGTATCTGCTCCCCTTACTGTGGGACTGACTAGACCTGCAGTTGTTGCATTGACTGTGTCTTAGCTTGGATACCTCCAGAAGCATTGCTCAGAAGATTGGAGTGTAAGTAGTTTATTTGGGAGCTAACCCTGGGAAGCACTGGTGAGGGACAGAGTCAGGGAGTCAGAGGCAGGTATGTGCATGAGCAGAGGTGGTTGTGGAGAACTGGTCCGTGCTGGGGAACTCTGGAAGGAAGAGTACAGAGCATCCTCAGATTGTCCTAACTAGAGGCATGGGTGCTGGTGTACATATTCACCCATTCTCTCTCTCTCTCAATGACTTATGACAGTCCAGGGAGCTTTATTTTCTGACACTTCTTGTTGCCACACACAACTCCACACAAGCTGATGTGGCTCAAGAATGCCCTCAGAGAATCACAAGTGCTTGCAGTGAGAGTCTGAGTGTACAGAGTGCTGAATGCCATGGGGAAATGAGCAGGGCCCTGGCAGTATTTGCTCCACCTACGACTGAAGTCAGCCATTCATACTTTTTTTTTTTTTTGACAGGCAGAGTGGATAGTGAGAGAGAGAGACAGAGAGAAAGGTCTTCCTTTGCCGTTGGTTCACCCTCCAATGGCCGCTGTGGCCAGCGCGCCGCGGCCGGCGCACCACGCTGATCTGAAGCCAGGAGCCAGGTACTTATCCTGGTTTCCCATGGGGTGCAGGGCCCAAGCACTTGGGCCATCCTCCACTGCACTCCCGGGCCACAGCAGAGAGCTGGCCTGGAAGAGGAGCAACCGGGACAGAATCCAGCGCCCCGACCAGGACTAGAACCCGGTGTGCCGGTGCCGCAAGGCGGAGGATTAGCCTAGTGAGCCGCGATGCCGGCCAGCCATTCATTCTTAATGACAGAGATTAATGTGCTATGTCACATGTCTGGACAACTAGAAAAGTGAAGCTGTATTCTAAGTCAAATGGGCGATTTCACATAAGTTTGTTTTTTTTTGTTTTTTTTTTTGGTTATGAAAGCCAACGAGACCAAAAATGGAAGGTATAACCAACTCTGTTTCACAAAGCGAAGTCCCCAAGGCTGCCTGGGCCACAGGTGCACTGGAAGAGGCCCTGGGCCTTGATGTCTGT